TAAGTTCCCCCTGTCTCTCTGCTCACTTCTCTCTTTTGTATCTCAAAAGAGATTGGCTCAAGACACAATCCAATCTTGTAGATTGACTCCTATCTCATTAACATAACTTCCATCTATCCCGCCTCATTAACATCATGGAGGTAGGATTTACAACATATAGGAAAATCACATCAGATGACAAAATGGCGGCAATCACACAATACTGGGAATCATGGCCCGGCCAAATTGATATACGTACTTTTAGGGGACACAATTCAATCCATGACAAGTCCCAAGGGGCCCACTGGGGCCCAGGTAGGGTCAGAAGGGGGCACAGCGGGGCTTAGTCAGTAGAGGGTTCCAGGCCCCAAGAGAGTCAGTGAAGCATCCCAGGGAGACAGGTGAGGTCAGGTAGGGGACTCAAAGATGCCCAGGGGAGCTCAGAGGAGGAACCTTGGGCCAGGCAAGGTCAGGCGGTGTCAGGGGAGGGTTCCTGGAGACACAGGAGGGACTGAAGAGGAATTGCAGGAATCCCAGGGGGATCAAGGGGAAGGTCCTGGAAGGCCCGGGTGGGTCAGGCAGTGTTGGGAGAGGGTCCCAGGCTACTGAGATGGACTCAGGGGAGGGAGGGGTTCCAGGGAGCCAAGTGGATGCATGGGGTAGGTCCTGAGGGCCCAAATGGGCCCAGGCAGAGTCAGGAGAGAGGCTCAGGGGGCCTGGGGGGCTTAGTCAAGTCAAGAGAGGAGCACAGTTGGACTCAGGGGGATCAGATGAAAGATTCGAGGCAGCCCAGGTGACACTGTGACTAAGGAGCACAGACAGGCTCAGGGGAAGGCTCCCTGGGGCTCAGGTAAAGTTAGGCATGGAGTCCCAGGAAGAAGGCCGGGGTTCCTAAGAGGGTTCAGGGGAGGGAACCTGAGGGGCCCAGGTGGGCTCAGGTAGGGTTAGGAGAGTCCTGGGGTGGTCAGGGAGGGGTCCGAGGTGACTTAGGCATGGGGTCCTGGCACTCCCAGGTGGGCTCAGGCAGAGTCAACAGAGTGCTCAGCCCCATCTGTCCAGATGGCCAGCCCCCACCACACCTGTTCTCCTCAAGGAATGCAGGGAAGTAGCAGCGGGGCATCCAGTTGCTGTAGCCACTGACCAGCAGCCACAGGATGGTGATCTCGTCCAGCAGCTGACCCAGGAAGCTGAGGGTCATGTGGAAGTACATGAAGAACAGGCCTGTAGCAGCGGCATGGGTGGGCATCAGGGTGCTGCCTGCCCCACCCCAACTGCCCACTGTCACAGCCCCCACCTACCTGTGACCATGAAGAGGATCCAGACACTGTGGATGTAGGGGGAGCATTTCTGGGCATAGGGGTGCATCAGGAACATCGTGAGAGGCCTGAAGATGAAGAAGGTGACATTGCTGAACTGAGGGCAGAGGGACATGGGGAGGAGGGTGTCAGAGGAGGGAGGCAGAGGCAGGTGCCTCTCTGTCCATACCCTCACAGTCGTTGGCCAATTTGTCACCTGTCAGCTTTTAGGCAATTAATCAGCCGAGGGTCTGTCATTCACCTGTCAGCCATTCACCTGTCAACCATTCACCCGTCAACCATTCACCCGTAAGTCATTAACCCATTATTCATTCACTTGTCAGCCATTCACCTGTCAATTATTCACCCATCAGTCATTCACCCGTCATTCATTTGCCTGTCAGCCATTCACCTGTCAACCGTTCACCCATCAGTCATTCACCCATCATTCATTCACCTGTCGGCCATTCTCCTGTCAATTATTCACCCATCAGTCATTCACCTGTCAGCCATTCTCCTGTCAATTATTCACCCATCAGTCATTCACCTGTCAGCCATTCACCTGTCAACCATTCACCCATCATTCATTTACCTGTCAACCATTCACGCATCAGTCACTCACCTGTCAGGCATTTATTTTTCAGTCATTCACCTAGTGCTCCTATAACAGATATACCACACGTGAATGGCTTTAACAAAGAGAAATTTATTCTGTTACAGTCTAGTAGGCTACAAGTCCAAACTCAGGGCGCTGGCTCCAGGGGAAGGCCTTCTCTCTCCGTTGGCTCTGGAGAAAGGTCCTTGTCATCAGTCTTTCTTTCGACTAGGAGCTTCTCCGCGCAGGGACCCCTGGTCCAAAGGACACGCTCTGCTCCCAGCACTGCTTTCTTGGTGGTATGAGGTCCCCCAGTCTCTCTGCTCGCTTATCTCTTTTATTTCTCTAAAGAGATTGGCTTAAGACACTATCTAATCTTGCAGATCTCATCAGTATAACCCCCACTAATCCATTTTATTACATCATAGTGAAAGAATATACAACACGTAGGGAAATCACACCAGATTACAAAATGGTAGACAATCATGCAATAGTGGCAGTCATGACCTAGCCAAGTTGACAGATGTTTTTGGGGGACACAAGTCAATCCATGACACACCTGTCAGCCATTCACCCGTCAGTCATTCACCTGTCAACCATTCACCTGTCAGGCATTCACTGTTCAGTCATTCACCTGTCAATTATTGACCAGTCAATCATTCACCTGTGATTTACCTACCAATCTTTCAGCTGACATTGACAGTCAACATCAGTCATTAATAGAGCAATTCCTGCATCTATTACTCTATGGGTTCATTCATTCAGTGAGTGAGGCAAAGACAATCTATAACCTTCTGTATACATTCTCCCTGTTTTCCTTTTAAAAATTGGAGCCCTGATGGATTTGACTATATTTAAATTTTAAATTTCTATTCAACAAAGGATGCTATAGATAAAAGATAGGTGACGTCCTAGAAGAAAATGTTCACAGTATCTAAAATTGATGTGATTAGTAACTGAAATAAAGTAACAAACTTGTAAAGATCAGCAAGAAAAAGACAAAACGCCTGATAGAAAAAAATGAAACTGACACAAGTGGACAAAAAAAGATTAAAAATTAAAAGAAATAGAAGTCTCCAAGTTTTAGCTACCCAACTAGACACTTTCAGCTTGCTGGGGCCTTGTGATGCAGACTAGCCAATGGGATAGGAACTTAAATGACATCTATTTCCTGGTAATGAAGGCATTGGTAGTTCAGTGGTAGCATTTCACCTTCCATGCAGGAGACCTGGGTTTGCTTCCTGGCCAATGCACCTGATGTGCAGCCACCACCCGTCTGTCCGTGGAGGACTGCGTGCTGCTATAATGCTGAACAGGTTTCAGCAGAGCTTCCAGACTAAGATGAACTAGGAAGAAAGGCTTGGTGATTGACTTTCGAAAATCTGTCAATGAAAATCCTATAGGTCATAACTGTCCGATCCCAACCAATCATGGAAATGGCATAGGACCAGGCAGCATTTTGTTCCATCGTGCTTGGGGCTGCTATGAGTCAGGGCTGACTCGACACAACATTTCCAGGTGAATCCTTAAAAAGCTGCTTAAGGCTTATCCTCTATTCCTCTTTCTCCTTCCTATGGGCTACTATGTAGATACGATGCTCATGAGTCAACCTTGATCTCATAGACTAGAAAAGACGATAGAAATAGAATACCCTAGAGCAGGGGTTGGCAGACTATGGTCCAGGGGCCAAACTGAAAAAAGAAAAATAATGGAGAAAATCAATGAAACAAAAAGCTGATTCTTTGGGGAAACTAACCTAGGAGCATAGTAAAGATCACAGGAACATTTACACCACAATTTCAATGGCTCACAGCCCTAAACTACTTACACAGGATTTCAGCTCCCCTCAAATCTCCCCAAGAGATGTCTGTGTCAGAAGTGGTGTCTCACACTAGCTCAGAAGCAAATGTTTACGTTTTTCTTCTGCTTCTGCTGACTTATGGACAGCTAACTTGCTTATCAGAAGTCCCTGGGTGGCGCAAATGCTTAAGTTAAGCATTGGACTACCAACCAAAAGGTTGGCAGTTCAAACCCATCCAGAGGCACCTTGGAAGTAAGGGCTGGCAATCTGCTTCTGATCCTGGCCCCATCTCCACAATGTTGGACTTTCATCCTTCAATCAGAGGCTTGAGGCATAGCGGCCTTTGGATCAGAAATTCAAGAATTGCGTCAAAAGAAGGGGAGCTAGGGTCTTCCACCGCCAATGACTTCAAGTCAGTTGCCAATAGAAAACCTCCAAAAGGCCTGCTCTGCAGATGGACTTGGGGCACAACCAATAGGGTGAGCTATTGCGGTGGCCCCACCACTCTGTCAGTTTGGTTGTTGTACTGTGGTGGTAGCTCCTGTGTTGCTGTGATGCTGGAAGCTATGCCACTGGTATTTCAAACACAAGCAAGGTCACCCATGGTGGACAGGTTTCAGTGGACCTTCCAGACGAAGACAGACTAGGAAGAAGGGCCAAAGGCATTCAACTGTGTGGATCATCACAAATTATGGATAACTTTGTGAAGAATGGGGTTTCCAGAATACTTAATTGTGCTCATGAGGAACCTGTGCATAGACCAAGAGGCAGTTATTGTGTGGTTTAAAATAAAAAAAGTGTGTATCAGGATTGTATCCATTCACCATATTTATTCACTCTGTATGCTGAGCAAATAATCCCAGAAACTGGATTGATTATATGAAGAACACAGCTTCAGGATTGGAGGAATATGCAGAAGACATAACCTTGCTTGCTGAAAGTGAGGACTTGAAGCACTTCCTGATGAAGATCAAAGACTACACCCTTCAGTACGGATTACACCTCAACATAAGAAAACATTGGGGCGAGGCCAATAACCTAACCTTTCGGGACGGGGCGAGCCAAGACTGGGGCAGGGGCCTGGTACGTCGGAGATGGGGCAGTGCTGCGGCGGAGGCGGGACCTGGAACTTTAGGGTTGGGGCCAAGATTGGGGGTGGGGCCTGGAACATTGGCGATGGGGTAGGATGGGGGCGGGACCACGACTGGGGGCAAGATCTGGAACGGGTGATTAGTCCACAGGATCTGGGTTTGTGGAGCTGGGGCGGAGCCAAGCCAGGGTGGGACAGGCTGGAACGTTGGGGGCGGGGCTACGAGGGAGCAGGACCACGATGGGGCGGGGCCTGGCACAATGTACTTTGGTGGGGTTGGGGTCTCGGCCTGAGCCCAATGGGGCCAAGGTTGTGGCAGAGCCAGATTAGGGGTGGGAACTGGGGTGAGGAGTTAAGGGAAGCTCAGTGGTTGGGTATTTGAGTACTGAGGCGGGGTCTGGAACTAAACTGAAGCCTGAGGGTGGGTCCAAAGGACTGGCCGGGCCTAGGTGGGGTCTGGGGCCTGGGGCGGGGGTGAGGGAGGGGCTTGAAATCTGGGGCGGGGGCCTAGATAGGATCACGCTGGAAACCCCAATGTCCGGTCCGGGGAGAACCAGCCCCTGTACTGCAGTCAGCCTCTCCTTGCCTCAGTTTCCCTGTTTCCCCCGGGAGCCACCAGGCTGACTCGCGCTCTTTGCGCAGGCCATCCACGGCTTCCGGGAGAGCGAGAAGTCGCGCTGGTCGGAGGCGAGCCGGGCCATCCTGCAGCGCGTGCGGGAGGCCGCCTTTGACCCGGGGCAGGCCCTGCTCCCCCGGGGGCACGTGCTGGACCTGGAGCCGCGGGGCTACATCAAGCCGCACGTGGACAGCGTCAAGGTGGGCGGAGGCGGAGCCTGGGAGCTCCCGGTGGGGGGGGGGGGAGAGGTGTGCGCCGACGGCCTGACCCACCCCCACTCCCCGTACAGTTCTGCGGAGCCACCATCGCTGGCCTGTCCCTGCTGTCTCCCAGCGTCATGCGGCTGGTGCACACTCAGGAGCCGGCAGACTGGCTGGAGCTCTTGCTGGAGCCGGGCTCCCTCTACATCCTTAGGTACCGCGAGCCCGAGGGTCCCCAGCCCCGCAGTGGCCACCTGCCTGGCACCCGCAGAGTCCTGGCAACAGCCGCCACCTTTACCCCCATTCTGCACCACGAGCTTGCTGGTGGGCCTGGGACCCCGTACAGCTGGACAGGGGTTTCCCCCACTCCGAGTCACAGCCTCGGTTTTCTCCTGCAGGGGCTCGGCCTGGTATGACTTCTCTCACGAGATCCTTCGGGATGAAGACTCCTTTTTTGGGGAGCGCCGGATTCCCAGGGGCCGGCGCATCTCGGTGATCTGCCGCTCCCCGCCTGAGGAGACGGGGCCAGGGGAGCCTGGACAGCCCCCCGCAGCCTGCTGACCCCTCCCCCCACCTGTCACGGACACTGTGTGCCAATAAAATTAGAGCCGCCTCCGCCAGGCCTGGTTTGCCGGGGCTGGAGTCTGCCGGGGAAGCCCCGGTCCTGCCCGCCCGCTGGGAGTCAAGGTGGCAGGTCTCACACCCAGCTGAACACAGAGTCCCCAGGCCAAGAGAGCACTTCCTTTATTGTCCGGACTGCTGGCCACCCAGCTCACCTCCCCTTCTCTGCACCCGAGACTCCAATCAATAAGTGAGCAGGCCTCCTGGCACCTAGCTGGACACCTTTAGTCACAGCCGCAGGCGGCCGCCGAGAGCTGGACCAGCCGCTGCCAGCGGTGGCGGTTGTCGAGGAAGGCCACGTCTGCATAGCGGGTGGGCCGGCAGCAGGGCCCGCCTTGGGCACGGCCCTGGCCCCACAGCCGGGCCAGCGTCAGGCCGTGCTGGGTGTGGGCGCCGCGGGGGCAGCTGCCGGCGCAGTAGCTGAAGACCACCCTCTCCTCCGAGGCATAGCCCAGGCCCAGCTCGGCCACCGGCAGGGTCAGGCTCCGCAACTGGCACGGGCCGGCCGCAGCTCGGCGCAGGCGGGCACCTGGGGAGGGAGACAGGGCAGCTGACAGCGGGCAGAGCCTGGGCAGGCAGGAGTTGGGGATCAGACGGGGGACTCAGGGTCCTTACCCAGCCTCGGCCTCTGGGTCCCTCCGGCTTCTGCTATGTGTTCAGCCCAGAACTCTCCAGACTCCACCACTGGGGACCCCAGAGCAGTGGGGCCCCAACTGAGGCCCAGCAGCAGCCCCAGGAGCAGCAGACAGCTGAGCAGGATTCCTCCCGGGGCCATGTTGACAAGCAGGTCCTGAGGGCAGGGGGCCTGCCCTCAATTTATGCCCCTGCCTGGGCTGGGGGGGGCACGCTTTCCTGCCGGCCCCCTCATCCTGGGACACAGGCAGCGGCTCCTGCCCCACCCGCCTGTACTCCTAAGAGTTAAGGGCTCACCCCCCAACCCAGACATTCCAGAGGCCCGTTTCCGACACCCCTCAGCCCCCTGATTTACGAGGGTGCTGTAGCAGCCAGGGCCCAGCCCAGGACGGGCGGGCAGCACCCCCAGCCCCACCACCTGATGTCAGCAGGGAAAGCAGGGGTGTCATGGGACCCCCCGGTGGGGTCCCTCCCCACTAACCAGGTGCTGAGGCCCAGGAGCCCTACCTCGTGTGCCAGGTAGACCGGGGAGGGTGCTGGGGGGCTGACAGGTGGGGGGCAGGTGACCCCATCGCGGCTCCCCACTGGAGGATGAAGACATCACGCCTGTCTCCGCGCTAGCAGAGCCAGCGTCAAAACAGGAAAAGGGAGAGGCCCAGGGACCGCCAAGGACCGGGACGCAGGGCAGGAAGCTCACCCTGTGGGGGTCCTGTCTCTAGAAGGGACCCTGGGACCCCAACCCCATCCCAGGACCCAAGAGCATCAGACCAGGTGGGGGCCTGAACCACTGGGTCTCGGTGACAACTGGACGATGGAGGTGGCAGCAAATCCCGGTGACAGGCGGCTCTGGTGGCTTCCATGCCTCGCTCTGTGTAACTCGGGGAAGCGAGCCTCCATCCCCTCATCCTTCCCCCACAGGGTTCAGTGAGGACTCCCCGCTGCCGCTGCCGTGGAGGCGACCCTACAGGACAGAGGAGAACAGCCCCATAGGGTTTTCTAGGCTGTAATCTTTACGGGAGCAGATCACCAGGTCTTTCTCCCACGGAGTTGCTGGTGAGTTCAAACCACCAACCTCTCGGTTAGCAGCAGAGAGCTTACCCATTGCGCCACCAGGGCTCCTTCAGGGAGGACAGAAAGATGCATTAGCACAGTACCTGGCACTAAGGGGCTTCTAAGACCTTTGAGGCAAAGGACATCTGAGTCACTTCTCTATGTCTGAAGAGATGCTTGATGTCATGCATGAACTCAAACGAGACTCCCTACCCCTACAAGACTGGCAAAAATCAAGTGTCTAACACACGCTAGGAGTCCCTGGGTGGCGCATATAGTTAAGCGCTCGACTCCTAGCCGAAAGGTTGGTTCGAACTCACCCAGAGGTGCCTCGGAAGAAAGGCCTGGCGATCTGCTTCTGAAAGGTCACAGCCTTGACAACCCTATGGAGCAGTTCTACTCTGCACACATGGGGTCGCCGTGAGTTGTAACTGACTAGACAGCAACAACAACAATCCACAAGAGCCCACTGCACAACAGGGACACAGATCTGCCCGCGCTGCTGGCGGGGGTGACTGCCGAGAGGCTCCCTGGACGCCAGCTGAGCAACTGCTATTGAACTGTGAACGACACGCCTTTGACCCAGAGGCCCTCATCCGACAGCGCAGTGACGAAGCCGGTCCAGGGATAGTCACCGTTGTTGGGATCAGCCAAAGCCTGGAGACGACCTAGACTCCGTCCACAGGGACTGGGCAATCATCACGTCGTGCTGGTTGTGGGCGCTGCTTATTCAGGCTACTTTCAGACGAGAAAAAGGGAGACTCCGGGGTGAAGTCATGTGCCCAAAGTCACCCAGAAATGTGAAATGGAGCGGAATTTGAACCTAGGTCCCTGGGACACAACGCCCCTGCTCCAAACCACTCTGCTGCACTGTCTGGCCTCCGGGTACAGCAGCAACAGACCCTGTCCATGCACCTCAGAAGGCAGGCTGGTGATCCAGTTCCGAAAAATCAGCCACTGAAAACCCTGTGCAGCGCATTCTACGCTGACACACACGGGGTCGGCATGTCAGTCAACTCGATGGCAACGGGTTTAGTTTCGGTTATGTGGCTGGGAGGGCAAGGCTGGGAGGGCAGGGGCGAAACCGCCAGGGCAGTGGGTGAGTGCATCTTTCCTGCTGCCCTAAAAACGCCGGGCGGAATGATAGGGAGAGAGGGTGGACCAACCTGGGACATTCCTAGGAATCAGCCCGACATCTCAAGCATTCCCGCTTGGCAGCCAGGGGACTGCGGAACAGGGTGGGGACGACTTTTCCACCCAAAGTTTCCAGCCTGGACGATGTGGGGGCCCAGCATCCTGCCCCAGCTGGAAAACTCGGAACAGGGGTTCAAATATTAACACCTTCAGCCACACTCTGCTTCCAGCAACGTGAAAACTAACCAGTTGCCATCAAGTCAACCCCCAACTCATGACCCCTGTGTGTCAGAGAAGCTGTGTTCCACAGGGTTTTCAGTGGCTGAGTTTTCAGAAGTAGATCACCAGGCCTTTCCTCCGAGGTGCGTCTGGTTGGACTTGAACCTCAAACCTTTGGTTAGCAGCCAAGCACGTTCCCTGTTGGCACCACTCAGGGCCCCCAGCAACATTCACGTCCGTGAACTGAAGAACCTCTGGTTAGCAGCCGAGCACGTTCCCTGTTGGCACCGCTCAGGGCCCCCAACAACATTCATGTCCGTGAACTGAAGACCTGCTCCCTATACAACACCTAGCGATGAGGGAGAAGATACATGTACGAGCCGCTCGTAAGACAACAACGGACCCCTGGAAACGCCACTGGAAACCTGACCACCAACACTGCTGATGGAGGGGGTCTGGGTTTTCACGGCCACGCAGGGACAGAGCCCTGGGCTGAGGACGGCACAGAAAATCGTCTTGGGCTGATGGTGCTGGGGCGCCTAGCGGAAGCAAAGGCAAAACCATTCTGGAAGGGCGTGCTCGGGATTCCTACAGATAAAGAGCCCCCACGCTGAGCAGGGCTCACCTTCCCAGAGGACGAAACACAAGAAAATCTCACGAAGGGGAGTCAGAAGACACAACAGGATACGCATGAACTTGAGCTAACAGATGCGTCTGACAAAGACTATAAGATAAGGATGCTTAACGTAAAACTTACAAAATCAAACACAAGCAGATGAGAAACTATCAAAACAGACCACCTGATCTGAGAAAGAAAGACAACTCAGAGCAACAAAAAATAGATAACTTTAATGGGCTACACAGAGGGTAGAGGGAGGGATAGTCGGCTGGAATACAGCTGTAGAAATTACCCAGAATACAGCACTCAGGAAGAAGGTCAAGGTGAACAGAGTTGAGTGAAAAGGAAGAGAGAGTGTGAAGGACTAACAGGTGGTGCAAGTGTTAAGTGCTCAGCTGCTAAGAGAAAGGTCTGCAGTTCGAACCCACCAGCAGCTCCACAAAGACCTGATGATACAGTCCCATAAAAATTAAACCAAAACAAACCCAGTGCCAGCGACTGCGACTCACGGTGACCCCATAAGACAGAATGGAACTGCCTCCTAGGGTCTCCAAGGAGTGGCGGGGTGTTCAACCTGCTGACCTTTTGGCCAGCGGTCGAGCTCTTAACCACTGCGCCACCAGGGCTCCTAGGAAATCCTTCGACTCTGACACATGGGGTCACTACGTGGAGTCAGAATCGACTCGACAGCACCCACCACCAACAGGCATTTAAAGATTCCAGGAGACCCTGGGTGGTGCAGCTAACAGCCAGCTGCTCACCACAAGGTTAGCGGCTCACGTTCACCCAGAGGTGCCTCAGAAGAACGGGCTGAAAAATCGGTCACTGAAAATCCGGTGGAGCACAGTTCTACTGGGACACACACGGCTGCCATGAACCAGAATCAACGGCAACTGTTTCTTTTTATTTTTTTAAAAAAGGTGCCAGAGAAAGAGAGAGAAGGAAAATGAGGCAAAGACTGCTTATATCGATCCAGCACTGATGAAGCGGGAATCCCTGGATTCAGGGAGCAAGCCGACACGTCGGCAGCAGACAGGCGGCCGCGAGCGCACCGGCGGGCCCCAGCAGCTCCGGAGAACGGAGCCTGTCGCTGGGCGGCGGGCCCTCACTCCTTGAGGGAGAAGTGCATCTTGTCGTTGATCATCTTGCGCTCGGGGTTGAGGCGCTTGAGGATCTGCGCCAGCACGTTCACCGTCTGCTCGCTGCTCAGCCCCGTCTTCTTGGTCTGGAACTTCTTCAGCAGGTCCTTGGTGGTCATGGGTTTGCGCGTCAGGTAGCGGCGCACGGCGTCCTCGGTCACCTGCACGTCGCTGCAGAGTGGAGGGCGGGAGGCGGCAGGCGTCAGCGAGGGCCCACCCTGCAGCCCCCGCCCGGCCCCCGCATCCTCGCCAGCCTACCCGCTGCTGGGCGTCGACTTCCCGGACTGGGGCTGGGGGGTGGACTTCCCGGACAGGCCCTGGGGCCCGGCATCCATCCGGAGCCGCTTGGCTGTGGGCATGTCGCTCGTCCGCTTGCCTGTGGAAGCAGGGTCGGGGTGAGGCCTGGGGCCAGGGACTGGACCCCAGGCCGGGCAGGGCGGGATGACAGGTACCAGGGCTTGGGGCCAGCAGGCGGACTGGAGTCCAGCGCCCCCAGGGCTTCCCCACCACCCTGGGTGAACAACATAACTTCCCAGCCTCAGCATCCTTGTCACACGGGGTGACGACGGTCCCCACGCCATGGGGCGACAACAGTCCCCACACTGCAGGGCAAGAGCACTCGGCAGAGAACAAGCTGCATCGTGCTCTGCCCCCACTGTGTGTGACCTCAGGAAGAGGTGTCCCCCTCTGGGCTCAGACCCTGATGCGGATGGGGTGGGGACAGATGGGGTCACGCACCCTGCTCCAGCTTGCTGGCGGCCGCCCGCAGGGTG